CTTGGCATGGTTCACTCTTCTGGTTTCTATATTCTTTTCCTAAATAGTCCTTATTTTTTCCTCTAGGTTTATTTTCCCTCTAGCTTTACCACATTATATTCCCATGGTGTCCTTGTTTTGTTTCCAATTCATAGCAAGCTTATAAACTTGGACATTTTCATTTATTTGATAAATATTCATTGGGCACCTTCTATGTGTTCTGTGATAGCCAGTGGTGAAGATAACACATTGTTCCTATATAACTGTTCCGATAAGTTCTATAAGGTCATGCTCAGTTTGCTAACCACTGTATCCTAACTGCTTATCCGCATACCTGGGATATCGTAAATGAGCAATAAATGATTGTCAATGAATGGTTTAATGATGGAATTGTGTTTTGTTCATATCCTGTCTCAGTGATCTAAACAATGTCCCATTCAGAGAAGAGTGTGAACAAATGAGTATGAGTGAGAGGGAAGTTATCTCTGTTATTTTTGAAAATGAAAGACTGACAAAGTAGGTGCTGCCTACTGTAGGAGTGAAGTTGCTGTGAGTAACCTAGTGTTTCTGTTTAGTGACTCTTGATGAGTAATTAGACTATAAAAGAGAAACGGACGATGAGCAGTCTTCACACAAACAACCCGAATAAATGCTGAGAACTACAAAATGTAACCAGGAAACTGCTGTACAGACCAGATCTTGAGAGTAGGAAAAAAAAAAATGACTAAGAATTCCTCTTCAGCCTTTTCAAGAGCAATGATGGTTCGATTCAGCTGTAAAAAGAGCTAGTCACAAGCTAAAAACAGAGTACATCTCAAAGAAACAAGTTCTGGGTGCAGGTTAGGTCAGTCAATACCTGTTGTATGAACAAATGGGCACCTGGATGATCAACAGACCAGTGACCCTGCAGGACCAGAGGTCAGGAGGGTTTGTTTGCCCATGGCTGGTGCTTGCACATTTTCTGCCTTAACAGTTTAGAGGCAGAGGCTGTGTTCTTAGTTTGTAAGGCCACTCTCAAGCTAGAACGTGTTTCAGAATTCTGTACTGTAAATCGAAACCCCTTTCTGCAGAACGACATGAGGAGTGAAGAATCACAGTCTTCTCAAGAATTCTTGGCAAGAAAGGTCAGGGTGTAAAAAGTCAGGCTAAGGTAAGTAAGATGTCCCCTAAACGTGGACGTGGTTCATGTGGACCACCCTACCTCATGATTGACATCAGGAACCAGGTACTCCTATTCAAAACTCAGCACAGGCTGGAGAGATGGCTCCATGATTAAGAGAGCTTGCTGTTCTTGAAGGTGCTCACTTCCCAGCACCCATATGAGGGAGCTTGCAATTGCCTAGAACTCAGGGGATCTTAGTTCAGGGGATCGGAACCCTCTTTTGACCCTACAGGCATCTGCATGTACATATGTATGCATGCACATGAATAAAAATAAAAGAAATCCTTTAAAAAGTCCTAGTAAGGTTGTTGGTCATCTCGGCAGCAGTCAAAAGGCTGAGGCACAAAGATCCAGGGTCAAGACCAGCCTTGACAGCATAGTGAGAACATGTCTCAAAAATCAAGTTCCATGTTTGGAGAATAAACTAAATAAGTGGGGGAACTGACCAGAAAGGCTTGGGCATACAAAAAAATAATTAATAAGTGAGACATGAATAGCAATTTATTTTACTTAATTGGTACTTGATATTGAAGTAGGGCTTTGTGCATTCTAAATTTGCATGACACTAATGAACTATAACCCCCATACAGTTTTTTAATGAAATATAGTCTAAGACCAAATTTTTGTTACTTAGCATTTTGGTGTGAATCACTATAAACCACCGACCTACTTTTAGATGACGTAGTACAAATGCTTTGGTTGCTTTCTACATGCCAAACACATTCCACACATCTGCCCTTTGCGTTCTGAAGGACATGGAAGATAACTTAAGAGAATGAGAAAAAGTGTCCAACTCCCTAAGTCTGCTCATCCAGATGGACCCTGAAAACCTAAAGAGTTAATGCGGCATGAAGAGAGCATTTTTCCAGTTACAGTGGAGAGTGTAAATAATCACATGCAGGAGGCAGAAATACAGGAACACACAGATTAAGCAGAAGGGTTAAAGTGAGCATCCAACTTGAAGTACAAGGAACAGAATGAATGAAGAATTTGGCACCGCTTTGGGAGGCTCAGAATCAAAACAGTGGATGTTGAAATCTCCCATACTGTCCCTAGGTTCAGGATGTTAGCTACAGTCAGGGTTGTGCCCTGGTCCTGAGCTCCTCTCTAGCAACAGGACCTGGTGAATGATTACTTTTCTTCCCCTCCAGATTCATACAGGAAAAGGTAAAAAAGCCATCACTATCCATTTCTTCCTAGCTTATTCTGTTGATAGACCCTTAAATGAAAACTTATCCAAGATCTTCAGGGAATTTAAACTTCGGGAGAGAATCTTGAAAAGTTTTGACCTGGAAAAGGGAACAACCGATCTAAATTAAATTCAGATCCTTGGTAGAAAGTGAACTTTATTGGGTCAGTAATGTGGCTTAGTGCGTAAAGGTACTTGCCACTAATCCTAACAACTTGTTCAATTCCCAGAGCCTACGTGGCAGAAGGGGTAAACCAACTTTCACAAGTTGTTCTCTGATATTCACATATGCCAATGGCATATATATATATATATATATACACACACACACACACACACACACACATGTGGCATATGTACACATATTTGTGCACATGTACATGTACAGAGAGAGAGAGAGAGAGAGAGATGTGGAGCGAATAGAATGCAATAATACATTTGTAAAAGAAAATGTACTTTGGGGATGAAGATAAAACCCAGTTGGGTAAGTGCTTGTCTGACACATACAAGGACTTCATTGATTCCCAGCACCATATAAGCCAGGTATGGGAACACTTGCTATTCAGTGACCTAGACACTTGGGTGGTAGAGACAGAGGATCAGAAGTTCCAGGCTATAATCACCTGCAGCTACATAAGAAAATAGGGAGTTGAGGCCAGCCTGGACTAGAGACCGTGTGTGCGTGTGCATGTGTGTGTGTGTGTGTGTGTGTGTGTGTGTGTGTGTGTGTATGTATGTGTTTGATATAGCCTTTTAGGGCACTAGTATATTTAGATATGAGTTAAGCATTTCGGATTTACTGTATGCCAAGACTGTACATGGATGATCCCTGTTTTATTGGGAAAAAAAAAAATCAAGTGTAGAGAATTGGCATGGCTTTCCTAAATTGTTAAGAAAAAAAATCCACATCTAGGTATGTGTGACACCAGAAACCTAGCTCTTTTACAGTTGCTCCATATAACCAGTCTAGTCTTTCCCCTTTCTGTAGAAAAATACCAAAAGGCAGCCCACACTGATAGGAGTGGTCCCAAATCACACACAATGTTTAACTGCCCTCATGATTGGAAATCATTCACTTGTGTAATGAATATCTCTCCAAACAACCTGGAAATTCATTTCCTTTTGACTGGGTTTTTCACTCGGGCTGTTCCTTGGCAGCTTTCCTGATATCAAAACAGTCGTCGAGAACTTATTCCTACACTCTGGGAGGTCTTGGACTTGTTGCCCTCTGCTTGGAGTGTTCTCTCTGGCTTCTTTAAAACCCCCTTCCCAGTCCATGCTGAGTTGGGCAAGTCTCGGGGAGTGAAAAAGTGACACTTGAAAACATAGTAGTTTATTATTACACAAAGAAGAGTAAAATTAACCATACGAAATGTCCTGGAATTGCCAACGGGATGGTGGCACCCCCTTGCTTACCTTATCTGCCTTTTTATTTCTCTGCTGTCCTCATCTCTGAAGCTGCTGAATCATCTATTTAAAAGATGCTCGTGTTATTCCAAAGATGCTCCTGCTCCCTAATAGTTCCCAATTACTGCTGTAGGGCTAAACCAAAAAAACTAGTACAGTTTCTGTTGTGGGAGCTGCTGCTCCATTCTCTTTCATCCTAATGGGTAATTTCCCTAGCAAACTCAGGCAAAGAAGCTACCAAGAGCATCTTCTCTTTTCACTTTAGGAGCACTGTCCTTTACCTCCAGCAACTCCCACTGAACTTTTTCAGATGTCTCAGAGTGATAAGTGTATATAGATGGTTTGCCTGGCACAGCACTTATTTGCCATTTAATGTGTCATCTTGTTACCTACACTCTTTCTTAAAAGTATACAAGTGTTCTCAGTGTTCTGTCTGCAAGATCATGAGTGTTTGCAAAGTTCTTCAAAGCCCTCCTAGGTGACTTGTGAAGTGGTAAGAGGGTCATTCCAAAGAACCAGGACTTTAGAGATGACAAGAAAGCTGTAACACTCTTCTCAGAATGGCCAGAGATGCACCTTTGTATGGTGCTTCTTGCTTTGCCAAGTCCGGATTATCTTCTAGAGCACCGAGTCTTGGCACAGAAAACTGTGAGTGAGAGTGTTATAGTTCCCAGAAGTGTGGTCAGCTGTGGGTTCAGAGAGGGCGTGGTCAGATCATTGTGCCTGATAACCACCTGCTAATCCTTTATCAGTTATCACACCATGACATTCAATGAGCAGCCACTTAGGGCAGAAGAAAAAGATAACCAGCTGGACTTCCTGTTTGAAGTTCCTTTCCGTCTTGAGATAACAGTATTTCTCATCAAAGCCAGACAGCCGCTTGGCCAGGGAAACCAGGCTGAATGAAGGCCAGGCTTCAGTCAGCTGAGAGGGGAGATAAACTCTTTAGAGTCTGTGGCCCCCGTGGCTGAGAGCAGTTGACTCTCTCTCCAAGAACTCCTTTGCCTTCCTCTAATACTCCCTATAACACTGAGCTCCCATAGCACTCTCTCTTTCTCACACATTTGTGTTTACCCTCTAGTCCAGAGCCAAAAGGTCTCAGGGTACATGGATTGGCCTGCTCTGCTTCTGCTTCCCCAGCAGTTTCTGAAGAAACACCGAAAGGGAGGAGGTAAGGGAAGGAAGTCTGAGCCTCAGGGCCACACCCTCTCTTGGAGCCCTGGAGAGGACTGGTGAGAGCAACTCTGAAGGAGAATGGCTTACCTACACAGTCAAGCTTTATTTCCTCCGTACCAAAGCTCTTCATTCCATTCCTCAAGCTCCCATAGTATTTCAGCTGTAAGAAATAGGATTGTTATTTTCCATCATTCTCCACCCTACCCAAGCTCAAATAATGTCGGATCCTTATTTCAAATAGGTTGGGATTAAGGAGATTTACATAAATATTTGCCCCAGACAACTTTAGGTACCCCCCCCACCTCTTGAGTGGCAGTCTGTGTTTTGCTTTGTGCAATAGTTACATGCAAGTGCCTTTTCTTTCCTTCGGGCACAGACGTTCCATTGTTCACTCCTGTCGGCCTCACAGCACTTACTTGGCACGTCTAACACTGAATAACAGTTCAGACGGTTTGCTGTCGCCTGGCTCACTGGTTGGCTCAAAGACTGGTCAGTTGGGCAGCTGTTTGACTGGATAAAGGGCTCAGAAAGTTAGAGCTTGCCTTTCCACTGAGAAGGCCCTTTCTGTCTCACCTCCATTAATGATCACACAATAATGGGTCACTAGAGCTCCAAGATGGGGAAAAAAATGAGTCATGCTAGTATCAGAGGAAAGAAAGAGGCCCAAACTGTCTTTGTGCAAGGGTCAGAGCCATGAGGTGAGAGCATTAACACAATGGCCTTTACTATACCCTCAGTCTATGGTTAATCTAAATTACTTTATGATGGAAAGGCAGTGTGGGAGCTGGAAACTGTTCAGTTTGGACCAGGATTCAGGAAATTTCTAGGAAACCATTCAGAGCAAGACTTTCCTTGCTCAAACAATTAAGACACCCTGTTTTGTTTGTTTTTTTATCAGTTATGCAGTGATTTTTCTAGCCGAGGATGAACCTCTAATTCCTTCCACTGAAACTTTCTAGATTAGGAAAGGCTATAGGAACCACCAGGACAGCCTCAGCCTAAAACTATTCCATGGCAGACAGACAGGGGAGTCCTCAAATTGCAAGATCTATGGGCCATTCCATACCTTCTGCGATTAGACACCCAGACCCACAATTAGCATATTTTCCAAGCTTATGCTAGAGAGTCTGACACTCTGCAACCTTTGAGATTTTACTCACCTCCTTGGTCTTCCATTTCATCTTCTGTGAGAAACCAACTTTGCTGAGGTGTTGACAGGATGAAAGTGCTTTGGCTGACAGATGATTGAGTAATCAGAGCCATGCTCAGGAGTCTTCAGGCATAGCTGTCAGAGCAAACTCATCTTTCAGCCTCCAGTTGTCCCTAATCAAGCAGCGAGGACTCTGGTACCAGACAAGAGATGACTTCTTGCTATGTAGTGAGCCCTTCTCCTCCCCTGCCCTTTCCTCTGAATAGATTTGGATGCTGTCTTCTACCCTGTGCACCAAAGAAGGTCCACTTTGAGAAGTATAAGGCTAATGTGTGTAACAACCAGCTCCTATGTGCTGATGCCCTCTAAGTTAAAGGGCTGGCTAAGCTGAATCTCACTGGGCCCCACTATTGTTAGTACTATATTAATACCTTTATTACTAGGCTTTGTTATCTCCTTATGAAGTCAAATCATTGGTGTCCCAAGTTCCTCCAGAGTTAGACTTAGAACCAAGGTGTTGGATCTTAGATGACAACCAGGTGTCCCTCTAGTCAGACAGCTAGCATGATAGGAGTAGGCAGTAGTAATGCCAGCTCACCTTCCCAGATCACCTTCATGGGTGACCAGGGGAGTCTGTATGTCCCATTGTTACTTTGCTGGTCACAAGTAAATTTCTTTAGACTGCATAGGAACTTCTGGAATGCTGTTATTGGCTGTGAATATTGTTGAATCTGCAAAATCCTATTTTCAGAGTCAAGAGACTAGGGCACTAACTTCAGCTGGGAAAACTTGTGTGGGTCTTAGTTTTCCTATATTCCAAATGGAGATGATTGGATCAGGCTCACCTTCTTTCTGTTAGCGGGCTAGAGAATGAAAGAAATAAGCAGATAACCATTGAATGACTAACCCCAACTAAGTGATTTTCAAATAAAACTATTTTCTGAAAGAGAATGAGCCCTGGGAAAGATGAAGAAGTTCATTTATTTGTGGGGGGTGTTGTCATGTATTCTGCATGCATTCATAAAGTGCGGACTTTTCTGTGCGCCCTTGTGCACAGAAACATAGGCTTCCACTGCCCCGTCTAACCCAATTTCTATCCACTCACATAGGCCCCATCTTAGTTGGCTTTTAATCAGTACAACAATTACTTAATCAGCAAGCATTTATTGATTATCTTGTGTGTGCCTAGCACTGTTACAGTAGTCTTGGACATACATATAGACAAGTGTAAGATATGGCAACTGCCGACCAAGTACTTACAGTGAACTTTTGAGATCACCCAAATAGACACACACACACACACACTTAAACACACAATGCATATGCAAGAACTATAAGCTAGCAATCAAAATTATGAATAATAAGCAATTTATTGGAAGAGAAGAAGTAAGAGCAGGAAGGAGTGGTCAGAGCAGGTTCAATGAAAGAGATGATGCTGAGCAAGTTCTCCAAGCATGGGGCCGACTTAGCTAAGAGGAAATGGCTCCGAGGTTGGTAAAAGAAGCTTGACCCTAAGTAACATGGTGGAAATAAGAAAAGCATGTTAAAGGAAACCTCACATATAAGCCTCCCTTGCTGGTACTGAAATTTTGATGAGGTGTGCTGGGCATCTTCTGAAGCTGATGGTATTAGGCTGGTGGAGGGAAATGTCTCTGGTTTGTCACACACACACACACACACACACACACACACACACACACACACACAC